ACGTAGTACGGACCGTAAAAGCACGGCAAGAGCAAGATGATGAGGCGCGTGAACGACCGCGTCGCTTGCGGCGTCCGGTACAGCTTGATGTTGCAGAGCCGCTCGAAGCGCGCTTGCAGAAACCAGTGGTACTGGTTCAGTCGCGACGCTTCGTTGGGCGGAAGGCCGAGGCTCTTCATGGTCTCGACCTGGAAATGCAGCTGCCGGAACGCCACCATCATGCGCTGGTAGAGCGTGTCGACCTGCGCGTTGTAGTGGAGAGCCTCGGCCGCGCCGCTCTGCGTAAAGCGGTGCCGGCCGCGCGTGAACGTGGGCATGACGAGAAACGTGTAGAGGTCCGTGAGGAGACCGCGGAGGAGCAGCTTGGCGCGCGCGTTGTGCTCGGTCGGCAGCGCGTCCCGGCCGTTGTTGCCCCAGTTCCAGACGGTGTTGGCGAGGAGGATGTTGGACGCGATCGCTTTCACTACCATAGACAGCCATTCATCATGAGCCACCTATATCGATACACACAAAGGCGCGTACTCTCGGCGATCGCGTCCAGGGCGTTCTCTCTGCGCGTAAACGCCTGGCGGATCTGCATGATCATGGGCGAGACGACGGCAAAGGTCACGAGGATCCACGAGAGGTTGGCGCTAAAGTGCTGCGGCACGCCGCTGCTGTCGATCGGCATGTAGTAGTAGTATGCAATGGGCGCGGCAAGCGAGACGAGGAAGACGAGGAGCGTGTCAAAGTTGACGAGATGCGACCAAAAGATGACGGCGGCCGCGTACCAGTCGAGGAGCGCGTCGTGGCAGTGGCCACGTAAGGACGCCTTGGAGTTGATGGCCACCTTGCACGAGGAGCTGTTGGTCGACGGCTCATGGATCTCGATATAGTGCTCGGGCGCCGAGGCGAAGGCGTCGCGGAGGAGCGGGTCGTCGGTCCAGTCCCGGCTCGTCGTCGTGCTGCCGTGGAACTGCATCAAGCTCAAATGTCGTATTTCCACGTATTTCAAGCGTTTGTCACAAAACACACATTCTTCACTGGGCATCCGCTGAGGTTTGCCCCAAAAACAACGTTTCCCACCAAGTCAAGTCGCTCCAGCGACACCGTGCGTGTTGCTGCATCGTTGCGAGAGACACTGCAAGGACGCTGCCACAGGGCTAAGTAAGTAGTCACGCAACGAGTCTCGATGGTCGCCTTTGTCAATTTTATATTGCTACGTTTTGGCTCTGTGCTACCTCCAGGTTCATGCCTTGATGGTGCTGGCGACACCATCTCCTTCGTCTGAAGATGCTGGCTTGCGTGCACTTGTCGCGAGAGCAAGCTAGGCGACCGATGGAGCTCATGCGACGGGGACAAGAGACGCTTCGTCTTTGGTTCACTCGTGGTGTCACAACTGCACCATCTTTGTGGTGTAAGCTTATACGATCTTCAAAGGATGTCCTCGCTAATGTCGACCTACCGGTACTGTATGACTGACGAGCGACAAAGAACTTTCGGTGGCACTTGTTCGCTACGTCGTTGCGGTGTCAGTCCGCCACGATCTATCCGACGGCTATCGGTGCGACTCGAATAACAAGCAGTGCAAGATCAATGCTCATGGCCCTAGGCTACGATGCAATGGCATGGCGGTCCAAGCTGGGACGATCTCTCGGACGACCCTCAAAACCACCTCGAAATTGTTGTTGAAGTTGCTCCTCCTCCATCCGGATAATCCGAGAAACATCTGGTCTACGTTTGGATCGGATGGTTGCTGGTGCTCCGGCGTTCGAGCGTACAGCACCACCCACCGCTATCTCTAGCTGTATAGAGAAAGATTCGAGCCACCTCGCAAACCCATCTACCTCCTAATGTGTTGTGCTTGACTACAGAGGACGCCAGTACTCTATGTGCCAAACGGCAGTATCGATCCTTCGTCGGCCTTCACACTTGTTCCTTTTATCAGCAATCATCTGGTCGCTGACTTTCTTGGTCAAATGGCCGAGGCAGCGTTGCGGTGCCTGGAACTACTACAGCTCGTCTTCGCCTACCAAGATGGCTTGAGCTATGACGTGCTCCCTCTCGTGCGTCTGCTCTACGCCATCCTCCCCGACCAGGCCCGCGATCGCATGGCGTTTGCTGCATTTGACGCGCGCTTTCGCACCTGGTTCGACTCGGCCGGGCATGACGGCTTGCCTCGTCTGTGCCAGTGTCGAGTACCTGGGCGCCTCTTCCAGTATGCGCTCGTATACGGCCACCTGCCACTGATTGCATATCTCCATACATCGCGCCGCGTTCAAGTCAACCGGACGCACTGGAGCCTTGCCGCCAAGTACGAGCAGCTCCCCGTGCTCGCCTACTTCTTTGCGAAGCACTGCGACGGGTTCCACCCTGATATGATGGCGCGCGCCGCGTACCGTGGTCATTACTCGGTCGTGCGCTTCCTGCACGAGGCTGGTGTCCGCGGCAACAGTGCCGGCGCGCTCATCTGGGCCTGCGAGCAAGGGCACTTGGCCATCGCCGAGTACTTGCACATGCACGGCCTTGGTGTCTGGGACCCTGGCGCGGTCGCTCGCATCACGCGCAGCGGTCATCTGCACATCCTCTCGTTCCTTCGGACGCACGACTACGCCGGGTTTTCGCCCATCGTGTTTGATATTGCAGCGAGCCAAGGCAGCTTGGACCTTCTGGGATTCTTTATCGAAACAAACGTACCGGGCCTCGGGCCGCGGACGCTCGAGACCGCAGCGCGCTTCGGCCACGCTAAAGCCGTAAGCTTCCTATTGGCGCATGTACCAACAACGAGCGTCGACACCGCCTGCTTGCTCGCTGCACAACACGGGCACGAAGACGTCGTGCGTCTTCTAGGCGACCGCCTGACCGACGACTGCGTCCAGCGAGCAGTGGCCTTGGCCATGGAGCATGGACACGTGCGTGTGCTTACGTACCTCTGGACCCTTCGACCGCACGTCGCCGACACCTCTGCCGCTATGGTCGCAGGCACCAAGCGCCAGCACCCCGCGATCGTCGAGTACCTTCAGCAGCGCAAGCGTTGGCGTCGACCGTGACAGCATCATCACCACTAACCACTAATAGAGAACGATTCTATTATGTGTGCACCACGACAGTCGATGCACTTTGAAATGGGAGCGAAGGCAGCTTCGTTTTGGATGGTGCCCCAACAAACTTGCATCTGTACGATTGCTTGCGACGCAAAACAGCAAGGTCCACGGCTTTCACTGCTGCTGAGAACACACCTGAACACGGATGTTGTGAACGCAATTCCGCCGGACGGAGCAGCAACCTTCGATGAACCGGCATGATCGCACTGGAAAGCGATGGGATATGGTGAGGCGACTTGCGAGAGTCTTGGACGCGTGCAACGTCGCAAACTTATCTTTTGACAAAAGCCAGGAGTCGCCAAGCTCGATTGCTAAACTAATATGACGCAACTCGCCTTATTCGAGGTCTTTGCGGTGGTGAGGCTACTGGACAAGCTCTCGATTGCGAAACCATCGGTCGCGTCCAGAGCAACACAACCGAAAACTCTTGCGGTTCGACGCCAGGATACTGCTGTGTTTCATGCGCCGCCGATAGATGTGGCCGCGGTGACGCCACGAACCCTTTGACCCGCAACGCCATCGTGCCAACAAAGGCGTCAGATCCCACCATCGTCTCCGATTGGAGCGACACGCCACTTTGCACTTCAACTCCAAAAAGCATATCCGGATGCGAAGTACCAAGGATGCCGCATCGCGAGCGCAGTTGCGACACGCGCGCGTACCGAGTCGGTTTGCAGAGTTCAAATCGCACCGCCGTGACAACGTGGTTGGTGGCGCGTCAAATGCAGAACGTCATGAGCCGCGACGCCAGCACCAACGACTGGGCGACTGACCCGCTCGTCCACGACGCCTTTACCAGCATGTCGCCGGACTTCTACGTGACGATCGTCGACCCAGGCGCCGACAAGCCACCAACGGGCCCGCTCAAGGCCACGGCCGTCACGATCCATCGCGACACGAGCTTTCGCACCCACTGCCGCGACTCGCTCCTCGACTGGTACGCGGCCGCCGTCATCTTTTGGTCGCATCTCGTCAACTTTGACACGCTCCTCGTCTTCCTCGTCTCGCTTGCCGCGCCCATTGCGTACTACTACTACATGCCGATCGACAGCAGCGGCGTGCCGCAGCACTTTAGCGCCAACCTCTCGTGGATCCTCGTGACCTTTGCCGTCGTCTCGCCCATGATCATGCAGATCCGCCAGGCGTTTACGCGCAGAGAGAACGCCCTGGACGCGATCGCCGAGAGTACGCGCCTTTGTGTGTATCGATATAGGTGGCTCATGATGAATGGCTGTCTATGGTAGTGAAAGCGATCGCGTCCAACATCCTCCTCGCCAACACCGTCTGGAACTGGGGCAACAACGGCCGGGACGCGCTGCCGACCGAGCACAACGCGCGCGCCAAGCTGCTCCTCCGCGGTCTCCTCACGGACCTCTACACGTTTCTCGTCATGCCCACGTTCACGCGCGGCCGGCACCGCTTTACGCAGAGCGGCGCGGCCGAGGCTCTCCACTACAACGCGCAGGTCGACACGCTCTACCAGCGCATGATGGTGGCGTTCCGGCAGCTGCATTTCCAGGTCGAGACCATGAAGAGCCTCGGCCTTCCGCCCAACGAAGCGTCGCGACTGAACCAGTACCACTGGTTTCTGCAAGCGCGCTTCGAGCGGCTCTGCAACATCAAGCTGTACCGGACGCCGCAAGCGACGCGGTCGTTCACGCGCCTCATCATCTTGCTCTTGCCGTGCTTTTACGGTCCGTACTACGTTTATATTATCGCGTCGGGCGACGGCCACACGAGCTTTGCGTTTGCGCTACTGCTGAGTGCGATGACGAGCGTGACCATGATTGGCATCTTCAACGTGGAGAAAGCGCTGGAAGACCCGTTTACAGAGGAAGGGCTCGATGGCGTCCAGGTCGACGTGGCCTTTCGTCGACTCTTTCTCGCTCTCGACACCGTCTACCCGTGACACCAGCACGTGTTAACACCAATTTACAATAGAAAATTATGCAACTGTCCTAAAATACAAGTTGTACAACTACTCTGAGTACCTTCTTTCCGACATGATGCTAGCATGGGCACTGTCTATGGTCAGAGGTCATCAAAAGTAGCAACGACAGCATCGCGAAATGGGTCCGCGTCCATTGATAAATTGATACATTGATACAATGCTGGTCGATTGGAGGTGTTTAGTCGAAGGTTTCCATGAGCTCTTGTAGTTGAAAATGCTTGACAAACTCGGCCGCCGCGGCCTTGTCCTACAGAAGACAGAGCGAAGTGGATGAGATATTCTTGTCGACGGGATCGCTTGTGGCAGTGTACTTTGCACTTGAACGTCGACTGGAAGAATTGGCGCGAGTAGACAAACACAAACTCCGCGACGAACGGCGTCTCAGCGCCATTTGCGTGTGCGTACAAGTAGACTTCGAGTACGTCTTTGGATTCATTTTGGGACGCGACGTGGAAGCCGTGCTTGGTCAAATGCGCCTTGATCTCGGCCATCGTGGGGGCGTGCGCATTTTTAAAGTTGCACGAAAACGACCCGCTACATATTTCCTGAGCACTGGTATCTGATACGCGGTCGATAGTAGTGCGTACGCCACGTCCGTCGCCTTCCAGAGGTCCCAAAACGCTGCCTTCTTCATGGTCCGCTTCATGTCCAGTGTAAACTCGGCCAACGGCGCATCGACATGGGCGTCTTCACTCGGCGCGTGCTCCTACACGTCGCTCCTTGAACAAAAATGACACAAATTAGGCATCGTACCGAAGAACGTTTGTCGGGTTTCTCCTCAGTACTATGGTGGTCGTCGTCGTCAGCCTCGCTGTCGTTGTCGTGGGCGCCGCGGGGGGGCACGGACGCAATATCGTCGAGTCGGTCGACCATCGGGGCCACATCGACGTGCTTGATTCGGGTTTTTCCCAGAAATTCCGACCTACAATGACATTTGGTGGTTTGTGGGGTGTGAAGTATCTGCTACGAACGCAAAGAGGTCGTCGATCTGCGTCGTCTTCGAGTGGATCGTGCGGAGGAGCCACGGGCAGACGAGCAAATGCACCTACTGACAAGTGGTCCAACTCCATCACAGAATTGGCGCGTACCGAGACGGTGCCCGTCGCGACTGCATACTCGATGTTTTGGGCGTTGGCGCCAAGCACGCTGAGGTCGAGGAAGCCAAAGACATAAAACTTGCTCACGAGAAGCCAAAACGCTACGTCGTCGTCCAATTAGACAATGCGATTGCGATAGTGTAACATATATACCGATGGCTGTCCACGCAGCGCTCAGTATTTCAAAGACGCGGCAGTGCATGACGGCGTTGGTGCCGCACTCGAGCTGCTTGCGCCACCCGTTGTAGAGGTGCAAGCCGTGTGCACTCACAACCTAGGACATAGCCGCATATGATTGATACTTGCTTGATACAAAATCGACGTACGGCGCAAGCGGCCCAGTACACCATGTAGATCGAGTAGAGAGGCACACCGAGGCACGGCTTTCGGTACAGAACGTTGCTCTCGAGCAGTTTGTACTTGATGATCTAATAGCTTCGGTGAGACGCGAAGCATGATCCCGCAAGTTGCACGATGTAGAGCACAAGCTCGATCGAGCCAAAGAGGATCGCTGCCGACGACAGCCAGAGCAATCTAGACACGTCGGTTATCACATCTGGACTCCAAAGCGAGACTACCGGTTGTGAATTTTCGTCAGAATTTCGTTCTTGCGCATGTGGTACTCGTTGAACGACACCTCAACGACGCGCCGCGACTGCCCGTGCTTGAAGCTCTACGTAGAGTATTGTCGCCAGGTTGACAGACAACTTGTTGGCCAAGCGTACGCGGCGCGGCGCGGAATCAGGCATCGTGATGCGGCTAAAGTCGCTCATCGGCGCTCGGCTCGTCCGCAACTTTGCAGCGGACTAAAGATAGTAGCAACAATACGGTTGCGACTGTCGTAGTTCACGAATGTAGGAGCCGCAAGATACAAATTTCTCCTTTTCTTGGTCCAGGTGATAATAATTTGCAAGGGCACAAAGTATTATCGTCCACGTCATCTCGATCCGCCCATGCGACCCAGGCAGTTGGGCTGATGCCGAGCTGGGTTAACGACCAGATCGTACTTCAGGACAGTGGTTGATGCATGCTGTCGGTGATCGCGCTCTCTCGTCTTTGCAAGAGAGTACGAGTCGGTCTTTGGCTCACGATGCCACTCACGCGAATGTTGACTCGGCTGAAATTTGTGCAAATACATAGTCTTCTTCTAACGCGCTTAGATTTCGTCGTCGTTGCGGTACTTGTGCTTGGGGACAAACTTGGTCGCTTTCTGGGACTTCTTCTTGGGCTTGCCAATCTCGATCATATTCCGCTTCAGCATCGAGTCGAAGCGGTCCTGGAGCACCGAGCCCTTGGGCTTGAGCGTGCGCAGGTTGCCGCTGAGGTCTTCGGTCAGCGTCACGAGCGTGTCACGGTTGAGCTTCCTACACACAGAGCCATCAATATCGTCGTCCTCATTCCATCACGAGATTCCTACTGCTTCTTGCCGCCCATGAGGATCTCGGGCTCTTCCTCGAGCTTCTTCTCGAGCAAAAATTTCTTGATTTCCTTTTGCTTGCGCGCGAGCTTGTCCTTCTTGTTGAGCTCGCCCGTGATCGAGTTGACGCTACGTTGGTGTACTGGGTCAGCGATCCATCAGAGAGCAGCAAGAGGCGTACGTATTGATCTGCTTGAGCAGCTTCTTCTCCGACTTGCGCGTTTCAATCTCCTTGGTGAGCTTCTTGTGACGGGCTTGTCGGTTGCGTTCGCTGCGCGTAAACTTCTCGTGGACCTTGAGCTTGCGGCCGCCCTCGGCCGTCTCGTCGTCCGAGTTGTTGTCGTCGTCGTTCTCGGACGCGTCTTCGTCGTCCTATGTGCGTTGCTATGAGCAAAGGACGTGCTAGGTTGTGTGTCGTACCGAGTCCTTGTCGTTGATGAACGCCATGGTTTCCTCCGAGAGACCCTTCTTGATCCGCGCGCGGTCGGCTTCGCGCTGCGCCTGCTTCTCGAGCTTCTTGGCAACGGCCTCGGCGAGCACGTCCTGATGGCTCTCGAACTCGGGGTGGTACGACTGACCAGCGGCCGCGACCTCAACGGGCTTGATCTTGTACTTGGTCGACGCCTTGCGCACAAGGGCCTAAGTTGCGTCGATCAGCATCTCGCTCGGCATGGCTTTTCAATGATCGTACCGCCTTCTTCTTGATGAGGGCCGGTGCAACGTACGGGTCGAGCGCGCGCTCGGCGGCGGTCGTCGTGATGGCAGCACCATCGTTGCCCCACAAGTTTTCCATCGTCGACGCCTTTGCCTGCTTCTATTTGGATCGCATGAGAGACCATTGTCGTGCTGACAATAGCGCGTACCTTGGGCTGCGGCTTGGCGGCGATCTTCTTGATCTTCTCTTCGATGACCTTGGCCTTGGCCGGCACGACCTTGCTCGACCAGACGCCCGGCTCCTTCTCCTTCTTAGCCTTCTTGGCCTTGGAGCCAGCCGTATCGACGGCGAAGAGGTGCTCATCGTCGTACGTCTGCAGCTTGGTGGCCTCGCCCTTCTCGAGGATCGCGGCCTCGACTTCGGCGCCGACCTCCTGGATACGTTGCAGCTTGCGCTTCCGGGCCATCGTTGTCACTTGGCTTTGGTTGGTGAAATGACCAGCAGGACCAAACCAACCAATCCCAAAATACAAATTTAATCCTCTTTACAAGAACATATCGTTCTTGTATCGAGAGCAAAAGATGGAAATACTGTGACCCGACACCGCCTTGATCTTTCTCTAAATAGTGTACAATGAGAATGCGTGTACCCCGCACACTATTCAGCGTCCGATCTCGCGTGTCGAGTGAAATGACGTCGAGTGAATAAGCATGGAACTACTGACAGGGCGCCGCTCAAGTATTGCCTACCTATCGTGATTGTTGTATGAGGGAGCTTGCTTCCCATCGGCGACTCCATGCTGGTACCAATAAAATAAAGGGTGGACACTGCTACACTATATACTAACCACACTATTTTGAAAATCCCACATCGGGTGAGAAATACAAAAAGCCACGTTTTTTGTGTGAGGGCCGAAGCGACGATGGCCGGCAATGGACGCTCGAACGCCGACGTGGCCGCGATGCTTCGCGGACCGAGGCGCAAGCGAGCGCCGGGCGACGACGATGGAACGCAAAAGCCGTCGCGCGGAGGCCTTGGCTTCGTAGCAGCGGCCGACGCGACCGAGCCAGCGCCCGGGTACTCCACAACAAGCTTTGCAGCGATGTTCACTCCCGCTTCAGTACAGGACTCGTCCGACAACACGACTGACGCTCCCGATGAAGAAAACGAAGTGCCGCGGGGGCTGGGCTTTACCCGAGCGACGGACGAGCCCGCAGCAGCGCCGCGCAGTGGTCTCTCGAACGCAGCGTTCGCGGCCCTGTTCACATCAGCGTCGCGGCCCGACGAGACCGATGCCACCGAGAGTCGCCACACAAACGTGCAAAGCAACGCTACACCATTGGACGACGAAGAGCCCAAGGACGCGCCGACCGAGCGATCGGGCTTTTCCAACACGGACTTTGCGGCCATGTTCCGTACCGCCTCCGTCGAGACTGTGGAAGCCACTGCGGCCTCTCCCGTTCATGCCACTATCGAGCCATCTGCCCCAGCGCCGTTGTCGGTCCCAGAGCATGTCCCAGAGCCCAAGCTGCCGCCACCCAACATGGCGAGCATGGGCAAGTGGGAGAAACACACCAAGGGGTTTGGTATGAAGATGCTGGCCAAGATGGGGTTCAAAGGGCGTCTGGGTAAGGACGAGCAAGGTATTGCGGTGCCGATCGCCGTCAAAGCGCGCCCGAACCAGCTCGGTCTCGGCGCATCGGGCTTTAAAGAGGCGTCGTCGCTCGCGCAAAACAAGCAGGTCGAGCGCGAGCTGCACGGCAAGACGATCGAAGACGAAGAAGAGGTTGCGCGCAAGCAGCAGGTCTTTGGAACCGACGACGGCGCGTGGCGCAAGCGGCTCGGCGCACCGAAGAAGCGCAAGCGAAAATCGGCCAAGGACCTGTTCCTCGAGGACGACGAGGACAATGCGCCCGTGGCCAAGACTACGATCATCGACATGCGCGGTCCCGATGTCATGACGTACGAGAATGGGCTCTCGGAGCTGCAGAAGCAGTCGCTCTTTGCGGCCCCCGTGCTCGGCCAAGAGCTTCTCTACAACCTCCGAACGATCGTCAACGAAGCCGAAGGCGCCATTCGAGTCGGTCGGCAGCGCATGACCATCGAACGGTCGCGGCTTGCCGTACTTCAACACGCAGCGTCGGCCACGTCTGAGAAGCACGACGCCGACGCCGACGCCCAAGCCAATTTGGCAGCGATTCACCGGGCACTGCAGAATTTGCACGCGGAAATCGCCGGCGCGTCCGCTCCAAATGGCCTCGAGCGCATTACCGACACGCTTGTGGGGCTCCGGCAGCAGTACCCGGTCGAGTTTGAGTCGCAGCACATCATCGACGTCTTGCCGTCGCTCGGGCTGCCCCTTCTCAAGTCGCTCCTTCTGACGTGGGATCCGCTCGAAGACGTGGACGACGGCGCGCTTGCCTTTCAGAGTTGCTTCTCGTGGGTGCGGGACTGCTTGACGACCTGCGTGGCGACGCCGACGGCCCAAGACGCCGGGCTCTTTGCGACGAGTCTCGACACGCGCCACGACAAGCTGTACCAGCACGTGTGCGAGGTCGTCCTTGTGCCGCATGTGACGTCGGCGCTGCATCGCTGGGACGTGCGTCGCCCGTGCCTGCGGCTCTTTGCGTTTCTCGATACATTTGCGCATCCACGGAGTATCTCGCATTTGCTTGTCGCCGGTATTTTGCCCAAACTGCAGCACGCGGTGCGGTCGTGGGACCCCCAGACCGACCCGGTCCATCTCCACGAGTGGCTTCTTCCGTGGTCCACGCGCTTTCTCAAGGATGACTTTGACAAGCCGCTGTTCCCGCTCATTCGAGAGACGCTCAGCCGCGCGCTCGCGCAGTGGCACCCGCGCGACGCGTCCATCTTTACCGTGCTCTCGCCGTGGAAGGAGGTGTGGACGCCCGAAGACTTTGCGATCTTCACACACAAGACGATTGCGCGCAAGCTGCTCCGGTGCTTGAATCGAGAGCTCTCGGTCGAGCCCGGCGCGACCTACGACGTCGCGCCTTTGCAGTGGACGTTTCAATGGCACGGCCTCCTTCCGGACCGACAGCTTGTGGCTCTCCTCGAAGGCGAAGTGTTCTCCAAGTGGCTGCACGCACTCCGGCGGTGGGTCGAGAAGGCGCGGGCCGCGACAGTCGAGGACCGCAAGACCATGGTGTCGGAGATGGTCGTCTGGTTCCACGGCTGGAAAACGCTCTTTGCTCCGCTCTGGCAGCTCCACCGGATCCGCCTCCAGTTTTGCATGGGTCTCCAGCTGCTGAAATGCGTTGAGCGTGGCACGCTGCCGTCGCTGGACGTGCTCGCGACGACGTACGACAAGGCGCTCGTCCTCGGCGGCAAGCAGCAGCCAGCCGGCCAAACGCAGCACAAAGCGCCGGTCGCCCAAGACGTGCTGCACATTCGCGATGTGCTCGAGTCGGTGGCGCTGGACGCTGGCATCGACTTTGTACCACACCCGCGCAACCATCGCGTCAGTGGCAAGCCCGTCTACTGTCTCGGGTCGCTCTCGATTTACTTTGAAGCCGACGTTGTGTTTGCCGAAGAAGCTACGAAAGGGTCGTTTGCTCCCACCGACATAGACAGCCTCTTGCGTCGGGCCCGCAGTTCGTAGCCGACTTCAATAAATATATATACATATATATATTGGTACGAAACCGCACGACAGTATGTGCACGCTAGACGTGTGTTGGGTTTGGCGGCGTCGACTTGGCCGCCAGCAGCGCGTCGAGAAGGCGCGTCGCGTTCCCAAGCAGATGCTGGGCCGTCTCGATGGAAATGCCGCGGTTGTGCGCCGCGACCAGTGGTCTATAACCATGCCATCACTGCCAAATGTATCAAGATATCAAGAAAAGGCAATGTACGCATTGGATGCCGCGGCTTTGCGGCCTTCGTCGATCACGTCGGTGCAGTGCCGCATCGCGCGGCGGAGCTGGTCGATCGCGACTTGCAAGTGGCGCCGCACCTCGTCGTCGAGCTCGTCTGGGTCGCCGAGGAGGTTGCGGCGCATCCACGCGTGCTCGGCGTCGCGCGGAATCAAGCGCGTGCGCCGCACTTCGCGGAGCTCGTGGAGCATGCTCTGCATGAGCCGGCGCAGCGCGAGGAACGCCGCGGCGACTCGGATCTTCTTGGCTTTGAACGGAAAGAGGCCGTTGGCGAGCACGGCTTCGAGGTCGTCGCGCGAGAGCGAGTGCGCGTCGACGTACGTGAGCGTCCGAACAATGTAGTTGCGCACGCCGTGGCACAAGATGACGTCTTCGCCAAAGAAGCGGCCTTTCCCGAGCACCCGACCGAGGCGCGCGACGATGCCTTTGGAGACAATGTACATCTTGTCGGTCGGGTCGCCGTGGTGGATGATGTTTTCATTGGGCGGGAAGAGCTCGGCGCGCAGCTTTTGCGTAATGGCCGTGACGAACCGGACGTGTTCGTCGTACGGGCCGCCGTTGAAGAAGTGGACATTGTTGGTCCACTCGCCGTTGGTGTAGACCGAAATGAGCCCGCGGAGTCCCGGCGAGAGCGTCGCGATCACGTGGCTAAAGTACTTGTGCTGGAGCAGATCGCGGCTGTGTAAGAAGTACTCGCGGAGCTTGATCTTCATGGCTTGCGGCACCTTCTCCTTCTTCATGTAGACGTTGAGGTGGTCCATTTGCTGGTTGAACTCGGTCTCAGACTCGTCCATCGCGGCCACGAGACCGCACACGGCACCAATGACTAAAGTGGACAAATGTTGTCCATACTCGACTCGAATCGAGGACGTACTGTAGGCATACGTGCCGCCGCCCGCGAGCATGCACATGATGCACACGACGCGCTCAAAGTCCGTCTTTGGCTGCACGTCGCCGTACCCGACCGTACCGATCGTCATGACCGACCAGTAGAGCGACACAATGTACTTGGTCGACTCGTCCGCCGTCGCAATGTGGTACGCCGACTGCCAGTTCTCAGCGCCGTCCGCGACCGCCTCGAGCTGCGGCGTGAGCCCCCAAAGACACGCGAGCCAGTGCGCAAGCATGAGCACGCTGCTGAGAAACTTGGCGAGCTTGACGCTGGTGTACTTGAACCTAGTGCATCTATCAGGTGGTTTGTTGGCTTGCGAATCATGGACCCGAGAATGGCTTCCCAGCGCGAGTAGATGCGCGACGCGCGAAAGACGCGTGCGAGTTTGACGAGGCGGAAGAGCCGAATGATGCGAATGATCTTGAGCGTCTTGAAGTTGGAGGCGCTGTTGTCCGTACCAAATACCTAGCTCCAAGGCGTTATGGAGGCGCTAAAGCTTAAGAAGCGCACCGCGCCCGCAAAGTCAAACGGTAGAATCGAGATGAAATCGGCGACAAACCATCCTAGTCCGAGGACAATAGATGTACATATTGCAGACTCGGAATGATTTGATGACGCACCGCGCAGGTAGTGTGAGATGATCATTGGCGGGTCCTCGACAAGCTGGTTGGTCTCCTTATCGACGTACGGTGTCATAAAGTTGAAGATCATGTCGGTGAAGAATGAGATATCGACGATGCGGTCGAGGACGAAGAGCGTGTTGATGGCGTCCGTCGTCACAAAGGCAATTTGGTACGGCTACCGACAAAAGTGCACACAAGGGAATAAGAATAAGATTGGTTCTACCACGACAAGCGAAGTCCACATGAGGAGAAAGATCATGTAAATGTCCCAGCCAGCGCGAAAGCTCGAGTTTGGATGCAAGTGGGCCTTGCGCCGATGGAAGCGGTCGAGCTGGTTGAGCTGGTACACTTTTTTGCTCTTGAGAAACTCCTTGTTCTTGCGCATGACCATCTGCCCTTCGTCGTCGATCGAGTTGAACGAGCGGCGCACGAGCCGGTCGCGCAGTGGCACGATCTTGCCCGAGAGCCCGTGATGGCTCTTCCCATGGCTGCGCGCCGACGATTTGGCCACGGTACCGTCCTAGTATGCAAGCGATAGACTGAGCCTCGTCGCCGTCAACAGCTTGGCGCACCTGCAATGTGTCGCATTCTGGAATGGGCGCAGAGACGTCATGCGCCAGCGAGCTCTAGAGGCAGACGCGTGAGCGCAAGGAGTCGCTGGCCGCCAACCTTGCCGCTGCCCAATCGCCCGGTCTTGGACTAGTTGCATGGCATGAGCCATGACATCGAGCCGCATGACATGGACGTACCGGCAGTCGCGGCAGGTGGAAGGACCGCGCGGGCGGGCGCTCGTTCGCCAACGTCGCCGGGCTCGTGCTCATGTCGGCCATCGCGCCGACCGATGAAACGTCGTTGCTGTGGAACCGCTTCCGGATGGAAAGGCCGTGGTATCCGGCGCTCATCATTTCCAGCAAGCATGGCACCACCATCGCCAAGCCCCATCGGCGTCCTTCGAGGCCACGCCGCCGCAGTCAACAGCGTGGCCTTTCTTGAGCAGGGCGGCGCCACGTACCTCGCATCCGGCGCTGCTGACGGCAACCTCAAGCTCTGGGATCTCTCGATCCGGCGACCCGCTGCGTCCATCTCGGCGCACTCCAAGGCCGGTATCTTATGCGTGGGCATGCAGGGCGATGCCGTCCTCAGCCACGGCCGCGACGGCTTTCTCATACTCTGGGACGTTGCCAACGGCGGTGTACACGCGCGCCAGCGGCTAGCGTGCGGTTCGTATACGTTTACCAAGGCCAAGGCCCTCGGCGCGCACTCGATCCTGTCGCCGCTCGAAGACGCGCAAGCGGTACGCGTCCACAGACGGCGATGCAACGTGCTCATGATGTAATGAACGATGTTAGCTGGGCATCTTTGACTTGCGCGCCGACAATCAAGCACCCGCATTGCGCTTCAACGGCGCCGCGCTCCAGTCGGGTACGAGTCTGTGCTTGATGTCGGCGCCTATTCTACGCTGCCATGCCAGGCATGTGCATGGCACTCGATGTCCTGCCCTCCACGACAGCTACCGAAGGCGATCCCTGCGCGAGCTTTGAAGGCGGACTCGTCGCACGCTTCGATGTACGCGCGCCAGCCACGCCGATCGCCCACCACAAGGTCGCCGAGTCGCCGCGTACACGCTTTCTTTGGTTGAGTGCGGTGATAGCATGCATCGTGTCTAGTGGTGTGCATGGCCTCGACGCCGTTCGGGACGCTCCTCGGAAGTCCGTCGCATGACGTGCACCGCCTCGACTGGGCGACGACCGAGGCCAGCGTCGTGTACAAGGCCAAGTCGGAGGGCATCAACGCGCTCGCGAGCCGCCAGGATGCCCGCATCTTTGCATCCGGTGGACGCGACCACATGTATCGTCGACGCTTTGTCTGTTTAGAAATGGACAATATGTCATCGTACTAGGGTCCGCATCTTCCACAATCGGACGTGTCGGCGGCTCGCAACGCTCAAATTCCACACCGAGAGCGTCTACTGCGTCGCATTTGCAGCCGACAACAAGCTGTTGGCGTCGAGCGGCAAGGACGCGAAAATCGCGCTTTGGTCCATCTACCCGCCGCCGTGAGCTCCCGCTCACCTCTCGGACCACGTCGCACCATAGATGTAATGCCATACAGTAGTCGATTCACCAAGTACGACGGCTCATGTTGCATTTACCAGCGCCGGCGTCAAAGGCTCTGCCATGACGTATATACATTGGAGTGGAGTCTTTTCAACTTGTGTCTTGAAACGAATTCCGGTCTCGACGAAACGACTTGCATCGACTCGGCCAAATGCAGCTGTCGGGCGGCCGGCACCACGACGACGCCGTGCGCCCTGTCCACGTACACTCCGATCGCAGCGGCGGTTCTTATGTCACGTGCTCTAAACTAGCGGCACCGCATTTCGATGAAGCTGGCCGGGCTCACGTCCCAAGCCGACGTGCGGCTGACGAGCTTTGTCGCGCTCCAGGCCGAGGTTGCGAATGGTCAGCTCACCGCGCGCTCATGCTGCCGCTCAATAGATGCAAAAGCAAAACATGGAGGCGCCGCCGACACTCCACGAAATGCACAAGCGGCGCTCGACGCAGGTGTCGATGCGCGAGGTGTTTGCATCGGACGTGACGCGCCGCGCGTCGGGTGATGCGACGGCGATGCAGCTTCGGCAAAAAGGCAAGAAGCACTTGCTACCAAGCGCGTCGCACCGCAGTCGCACGCTCAAGAAGCTCCACGCGATGCCCCGCTGGTGGCACATTCACCGGTATTTGGAGTCGACGGCGCCGTTTCGGTGGCGCTGGGACATTCTAATGCTCGTTCTCCTCTTCTACACGGCGCTCCTCGTCGTACGCCAACTATATCTATTGCTCGTTCTATCAGTGAATGGTATTGTCTGTATAGCCGTACGAGATTGCATTTGTGACCGAGACGTCCGTGACTGCGCTCTCGGTGCTCAACAATATCGTCGACGTTTTCTTTTGCCTCGACATGCTCTTCAACTTTGCCACGCCGTACGTCGACAAGGAGACGAACGCAGTGATCGACGAGTACGGTCTCGTGGCCCAGCACTACTTGCGAGGTACGCGCGTCGATGGAGAGATCTGTCGATACGGAGCGGTGCGTAGGCTGGTTCCTTATCGATTTTGCGTCCATTTTCCCGTTCGAGACGCTCTCGTCGAGCGACAAGAGCAGTACTGATCCCGATGCACCGTCGACGGCCGCGCCCTCGAACCGCCTCGTTGTGCTGCGCATCCTTCGCATCCTTCGCATCATGAAGCTCATGCGCGTCTTCCGCGCCAACCGCATCGTCGCGCGCTGGCAAGCGCGCCTCGACTTTCCCATCGCACTCTCCAAGCTCATTTCGTTTACCTTTGGCATCCTCGTTCTCGCCCACTGGCTCGCGTGCGTATGGGGCACGACGCCTCAGTTTCAGCACAACCTCGACGCGTTTGGGAATCTTCAAGATTGGACCGTCGCGTACGGCATCAACGGCAGCGCCCCCCCGACGCAGTACATTGCCTCTCTCTATTGGTCCGTCATGACGATCGGGACGATCGGGTACGGTGACGTGTCGGTCGTCACCTCGGTCGAGCGCATGATTGCGATCCTCTGCATGATCATTGGCTGCGGCAGCTACTCGTTCAGTGCGTCCTCGATCGTGTGAGCGTTGACAACCTGATGTGTATATATGTCTAGTCATTGGCTCCATTTGTGGTCTGGTCTCGGGTCTGAGCGAAGCCACAACCGAGTTCAACCAGAAAATGGTCGGGTTTTTGGCGCCAAAATGCAAGGCGAACCTCTCGTGTTTAGGACCATCTCAACATGTACATGGCCAAAGAAGACTTACCGCAAGAGATGAAGATCATGTTTCGAGAATACTTCTTGCATATGCGCGACCAAATGCACCACAAGTACTTTGCGCACGCGCTCGACACGCTCTCGCCCGGCCTCCGCGGCGAGATTGAAGTGTACACGTCGGGCGAATGGATCCACCGGATCCCGTTCTTTGTCGGCGGCCCGACGTCCCAGCACATTCGGTTTGTGACTGCTATCACGCAGCGCTTGGAGCCGATGCTGTACCCGCCCAACGAGGTCATGATCCACATGGGCGACGCGACCGACGTCTTGTACATCATTTCCCGCGGGTATGTCGTTCGACGACCGTTGGTGGTATATGGGTCGACTGGTGTAGGCTCGTCGCCCGACTCGGACGGCTCTTTGGGAAAGGCCATTTTGTCGGCGAAGACTTTGTACTCAACCATGGCGTCCGGCACTACGAGGTGCGGACGTTGACGTACGTCGACACGCTCGCACTGCGCCGAGACGACTTGAATGCGGTCCTGGAGACGGGCACGTTTCCGTTCAAGAAGGCGCGGATTCGCCGGGCGTCCATTCTGCTTGCGATTGCGCGCAAGATGGAGTACCTCCTCGACGAGCTGCGCTACAAGCGCAACCGACCGACGTACAACTGGAGCGCCGCCCAAGAGTGCGAGTGGTTTCGCGCGCACCTCTTCAACGCAGACGCTGCGAGCATGGTACAACCTTTAGCCGAGTCTCACGTGTCGTCACGCGTTGCGTAGCGGACTGAGAACCGGTCGGTCGTCCACGCCATCAAGCACACGCAAGTCGCGCTGGCGGCCCTCGACCGCATCGGCCACCTCGACAGCTCCTTGCGGGACCGCGATGATTTTTATGCCATCACCATGGCCATCCAGACGAGCCTCTCGATGCTCTCGAACGCCATGCACACAAACCCAGGCGCGTCGTGACACGAATCGACAATGTACACGTGATGTGGCGTGCGTCTTGTTGCGTCCACCGACTAGAGAAACCAAAAAAACAGCGCTAGAACTACGGACTGCTGGCGCTCTGGGCTCGAGCTATTGGGATCTCGTGTCAAATGAGCAACGGCTGACCATCGCCTTGTTGTTCCGAGTTGTGTTCATCCGCCACAGTCATTGACCGTCGCAGTCATCAAGGACATGCCTGTGGCGTCGCACGAGGTGTCGGTAGCAACATCCTGGAGCTGCAACCAGCTGCAGCTGCTCTATCGGTTGTACAGGCGCCACGACCCTCGTCTCCACCGCAGCGTACCTTGGGTGCGACGTTGACACAGCCCACACCGTCGAGCGTGTCAACGTTTCATTTGGTTGATTTTACGCAAGTAGCGACGACGTTCCTTGCTAAAGGCGGGTCGACACCCTGCGGCGGGGTCGTAGCGGCTTACGTTGGCCTGTGGCCGCGCCGCGTTGAATGCAGCACGGTTGTGCTCGGAGGCTTGTGCAAACTCCTCATCTTCAGCGCTCGATCGGAGGAAGTGCAAAGCCGCGCTCGGCGTACTCGCGCGTGCACTGCGACACGAACTGTGCGACGCTTTGGCATCGCGTCGCGCTCGCCTTGGCCTCCCGCTTGAGGTGCGCCAGCCGCTATGGTAAGTACACGCTGAGCACCGACGCTGATGACAGGGCTGCGCCACCGCACCTTGGCTTCGTCGTCGCATTGCGTTTGGATCTCGCGCAAGGCGGCGTCGCGCCGCAATGCCTCGACCTCCATGCGCTGCATCGCGGCCGCGACACTCGCCGACACGGCTTCTCTTGTAGCGTGCTCGTGCTGGACCGCGTCCCGTATGGCGGCTTCCTCAGCCACAGCCGTGCGCCCGCTCTACCGACAGAACTCCGCGTTGCGATAGCCGGCAGATGTATCTCGTACGTGGAGGCGCTGCTGCACGGCCTCCAGGGCCACTTTGGCGGCAGCAACCTGCGCCCGCTGCTTGCGACTGTCGGCGGCTGTCGACGCGATCGCGTTCTCGAGCACGCGAAGCTGTGTCTCGTGCGTGGCTCTCTACTCGCAGTACTGGTGACGCAGGCGGTACGAGCTGGCGTCGTACGCGGTCGTGGCACACCGGAGCGAGTGCCTCCGCACCCGCGATCGCAGCGAGCAGCTCCTTGCGCTGTACCTGCTCCCGTGCGAGGGCTTCGTGGGCCGCCGCCACTTTGGCGTGGAGCGCTACCAGCTCACTATTGATGCGCTGGTGGTCGCTCACGCATGCGCGCACCTACATACTGAGCTCGTGCTTATGGCTCATGGAGCGGCCATGCACGCACCGCTTTGGCATCAATCACGCTCAGACTACGGTCGAGCCAATGCTTGTCCTCGTCGTCGATCCAGCTGCGGGTTTGGACGAGAGAGGGTTTGAACTGGCGGGGCGGAGGCAGGGGTGGCGGCTTGTCGTGCAGCGACACACAGGACTTGGCATTCTTATCCTCGAGGTACATGGCGAGGTAGCCATGTGGGTCTTTGACGGTGGGCAACGATACATCGTAGGCCCCGATCTTTGGTAGCGAAGCACCCTCAAGGGCCTCGTTGATCTCGTACCGCTTGCTGCGGGAGCGGTTTCCCATCGCTGGGGCTGTTTAAGTATCTGATGGATGATGCTGCGCTTGAGGTATAAATAATTCTCAGTCGTAGGGTGGTGTTGAAAAACACCAGGTTGGAGACACTAAGTCAAGGCAGCGCATTTACGAGCGCTCGCCACGGATGCGGCGGGCGAGCTGGATGTCCTTGGGCATGATCGTGACACGCTTGGCGTGGATCGCGCACAAGTTGGTGTCTTCGAAGAGGCCGACAAGGTACGCCTCAGCGGCTTCCTGGAGGGCGAGGACAGCCGAGCCCTGGAAGCGCAAGTCCGTCTTGAAGTCCTGGGCGATCTCGCGGACGAGGCGCTGGAACGGGAGCTTGCGGATGAGGAGCTCCGTCGACTT